TGTGTGTGCTGTTACCTTGTTTTTTTTTGGTCTTTTTAATCCTTTTTTGTATTTTTTTATACTTTTTTAGTAATTGTTTTTTACAGGGCTGAGGACCGAACCCAGGGCCTTGCACATGCTAGGCAAGCGCTCTGCCACAGGGCTAAATCCCCAACCCCGAGCTCTGGCTCTCGCTGTTGGTGTTTTAAGCAAAACCAGAGTAAGTCATGCAACGTCAAGAATCAAGTTGTACAGAAGGGTTTGCCCACAAGAGCACCCACCCTGCCCAGGCTGCCCTGCAGCCAAGGCATCCACTCTTTTCTTTAAAAAAGAAAGAACAGGAGTTGGTTTTAGTTCTGGCATTTTCTGAACAACGTTTTAAAAAATATTTCAGATGAGCTGCGACAAGAGAACCTACCTCTGGAACACCAGAAGCCTGTCCCTCAAATTAAGAATGCCTTATCCCAGCGCTGCCCCCGGGAGTTCCTGTGCCACACCTGGGCAATGCAGAAGGCCACCTGCAAGTGTAGGAGGCAGAGGCATCACGTTTTGCAAGTGACCCATCTGGAAAACCCAAAGCCCTCCTGTAAAACCTTCTCAGAATTTTAATAGGGTTTCGAAAGTAGCAATACATACAAAAAGTAGCAAAACAAACAGAATCCCCTGCTTCCTGTTATCCCAATCATAATCAACAGTGGTCTCTGCAGGCCTGGTGAGGGGCATGCTTTGCAGTACTTACAATAAATTTCTTAGAAATAATATTTCTAACAATTCAGGCAGGAGCTCTATGAAGAAAACTCGAGATACACCACAAACTTGTGTGGGGACACTGAGCAAATCAGTACCCAGCAGAATTGCATATGGTCTGGGAAAAGTGTGTCCGAATTCTGAATTCTGTCTGCCTGAATAAACTGTTCACAATAACTGAGGCTTAAAAAAGCGGGGGCGGGGGGGGGATGATAACAGAACTTGCTGTATCAGACATGAAGAGCTAAAGTCTCAGTATGTTGGTTCAAGAAGAGACAAACGAAGGAATTCCCCCAGAATGGCCCAGAGAGGGAAAACATGGAGATGTGAAACCTTCTCACGTGTAGAAAGAGCGTCCCGCATCGATTGGGGAGGGAACTCCAATCCATAACGATAATGGAAATGATATCGGCCACATGGGAAAAGTCAAGTTCCGCTCACCTCTGATACCATTCCTCAAAGTCATTCCAGATGAATTAGAGTCCAGCTGCAAGAGAAAGAAACACTAAGAAATCCAGGTCCCTAGCGTCACAGCAGGAAAAGGAGCCTCGTCAACCTAGGAACTTGGCCCTGGGAAAGCCGGAAGAAAACAAAAGCTGTGTCACAAAGGAACAGTAATTCTGGCTTATAAAGAGCTGACTGACATGGGGAAGACACCCCTGCTTTCTAACAGGAGGCAGGACGTCACATTCTAACAGAAGGGACCAGTGTACTCACACTTCACAGGGAGTAGCCACAGGGAGCCAAAATGGAGCAGCAGGCCTCACTGGTAATCCAAGGGGGAAGCAAGCTAGGAAATCCACCCTCCACCCGGCCACTCTGGCCACCGGCTGATTGGTGTCACATCTTTACTCTTGACCCTTCCCAGAATCTTAATACGTGTACACCTTTGTGCCCTCCCCTGCCCACTGACAGATATTTCAAACAATGTCCCAGGGAGGGGACTGTTCTGTTATTACTGCATATTTAAAAGACATTTTTTTTTAGCATGAACTTTATTAGCTGAAATTAAAAAGAACAAGCCTGTGGCCCACACTTGTCATCCCACACCTGTCATCCCAAGTGGCTCGGGAGGCTGAGGCAGGAGGATCGCAAGTTCAAAGCCAGACTGCCTTCCCATCAGCGTGTGCCACTGTGCCCAGCCTGATGGTGTTATCTTGGGCATTTCACTGTTATGTTTAAAAACTGCTTTGCTTTCAAATAGAACCACACCTTAAAAATGGCCCTGACGTTGGAAAAAGACTCAAAGTGCCAATAGTATTGGTTTCAGAAGTCTTAAATGATTCCAAATCTGATGGATCACATTAAAAGTAGGCAGGAAAAACCAGAACACCTCCCTTGCCTTGCCAGTTTTTGAGAAAACATACGCGATGTTTGCCTGTGTGTATCTCACAAGCTGGATTTTCACCTGAGAATGTGATAGATTTGTGGTACCAATGATGTAGTATTGGTGCAGTGAAAACTCTGGAGAGCTTCTGAGAGCGTGGACTTTTCTAGGCTGGTTTTCATTTCCCTGGAAGTTGTACTGATTCTGTGTCTGCCTGGCAGCAGGCTGGGCTATGGCTCAGTGGCAGAGCATTTTGCCTGGTAAGCATGAGGTGCTGGGTTCAATCCCCGGCACCGCAGAAAAGGAATACCATCATAAAATATTTAGTTTTTTAACCAAAGGTATAAAGGGGATGGCGTAATGGATTCCCAGAAACCCACCTCACTAAGATAAAACACTTTTTTTTTTTTTTTAAAGGGAAAAAATTCAAGAGACAAACCAGGTCAACATACCTGAAGTGAAAATCCAAATCCATCCAAAGTTCAATCTTGAAAAAGGGTCCGGGAACAGGTACTGACTTGTTAGAAGCCGAGCTCTGGAGCAAAACAGCAGAGGCTTGCAAGACTGAGTCAGCTGACCCAGAGGCGGGACCGCAGCAGCAGCAGCAGCAGCAGCAGCAGCAGCAGCAGCAGCAGCAGCAGCAGCAGCGCCCTGGAGGGGGGCGGAGGAGCAAGCGCTGAACTAAAAGCATCCACTCGTGATCTGCTTCCAGAGGGACCTGGGGCACGCCCACAGGTGTTCACAGATGCAGAGAAGCAACCTTCAAGGAGGGGTCCTGAGCCGCAGCAGCCTGTGTGGGAGGTGGCCCAGGTGGGGGCTGTTTTTCCCTTACCTGTTTCTGCCCCTGCTCTTTATTTGTCTGTTACTTTTGCAGGAAGCACGCAGACCTTTCTTCAAGGGGGAAGCCACTTTACATTCTCTCTCTCCTTTTGGTATAGGGGATGGAACTCAGGGGCACTTAACCACTGAGCCCTGTCCTCGGCCCTTTTTATGTTTTATTTTAGAGACAGGGTTTCACTGAGTTGCTTAGGGCCTGGCTACGTTTCTGAGGCTAGTTGGAACTCAGGATCCTCCTGCCTCAGCCTCCCAGGCCACCGGGATGACAGGGGTGCGCCAGGCCTGTTTAAATTCTTAAAAGGAAGTCACCAGATGATGGCTCACTTTAGGGCCATACATCTCCTATGTTCATGATAAACAAGGACAACACAGCTGGAAAAGAGGCCATTTGGGGGCCCAGGTTTGACCCATGGGGCGGTGGGAAGGGAATTCAAGGGAGAAGACATGCTTGAGCTTTCTGGCTGAACTTCCTCCCTGTTCCTTCCCTAAAGGAGGGACCCAGAAGTGCCACTTTCTACCGGCCTGCTGGGGAGCCTCTGGCAGCCACAGAGCAGGAGGCCGGGAATGGGGCTTGGGGGTCTGTGGCTGTGGCCAGTGAGCATAAGACCTGCCTGGCTGCAGGAGGGTCCTGCCCACCCCCAGGCAGCAGGGATGGCATAAGCCTGGCCGTCCATGGGGGACAAGACCTGAGGTTTGGCCAGCCTGTGTGACCCCAGCCTCCAGCTCCTCAGGGTCTGTTTTCCTCTCTGCCTTAACCACAGGGATAGAGCCCTGGTTCCAAAAGCCGAAGGGGGGAAACCAGCAACTTCCACCAGAATGCCTCCTCTGGGCTGTCTCAGGGTGTCCATGCTAACATAAAAGCAGAGGAGATTTTAGGAAAGTGGCCCAAGGATCTGTCAATGGAGCTTCCACTGGGAGGGACAGGAAGGCTCAGGGAGACAGACTGTCCACTGTACATCCTTGTATCAGTCAGGTTAGGCTGGTTGTGCTGCAGAAACAAACAAGCCCTTGCATCCCGGTGGGAACCAGGAAGAGCCATTTCCCACTCATACAAAATCAGCCACAGGTCGAGCAGCTGTCCTTCACCTTGTGGAAGCAAGGCCCCAGTGGCCGAGGAGAGAAAGAAGGGTCACACTATCCTAACTGCCTGGTCTGGGGCTAGTCACTGGCCCTCACCAGACCCCAGGGGGAGTGGAGGAGTCCATATAATACCGGGTCACCTCTGGCTGGGCCAAGTGCTTTTGCACTATCTGAAATTTTCCTTGATTCTAGGAACATACAGTTTCTCCAATTTAAAGAGAAAGAAGAAAGATGAGGGAGTCGTTATCTGCCCTTGGAATAAAAGTGATGGGATGTGTCTCACCTGTCCCTGCCCAACTCAGCAAAATACCATCCACCCAAGAGAGGTGTCCTAAGTACATCCTACCAAAAACACTGGAAAACGATTTTTTTTTAACTTGCTAAATTTTGAAAAAAAAAAAAACTTAAATAATATGTAACAATTCAATGTCAGCAGAACTTACTCTGCACAGGCTCTAGCACGCAGTGGGCACTCGACAAACAGTCGTTGAATGGTCAAATGAGAAGGCAGTGTGGGTCACCTCCGGGCCTTGGGAGGTGAGCCGGCCAGAGACCCAGCGCCAGCGCTGGCCACAGCATCGGCCACAGCATCGGCCACGGAGGCCTTTCAGGGCATCTCCACAGGGAGGCTAGCCAGGTGAGCAGCTGCTTTCTTTCCTTTCCTTACCCCAACCAGTCGCAGGCTCACAGCTGAAGCAGAGACAAAGGAAGAAGTGGTGGGCGGGGTGGACGGGGCCATCCAGCCAGGGGGGGGAGTGGGCGGGTCGGCTCTGTTCCATCCAGAGGCCTCCTCCTGCCCGCATCCTGCCCGCGGGGCCTCATCCTGCCTGGGGGGAGGGCGCATGACAAGGACCCACCCATGACCCGTGACTGACACCCCCTCTGCAGATGGCTCTCAGCTCTGGGCCTCTGGGGTCCACTTTCCCCGGCTGTGGCCTCCCCCTGCCTGGGCCTCCTCACAGCTCTCCCGACCCCGTGGAGCAGGATTTCCTGCAGAGAGGAGCCGGGAGCCGCCTCCCTCCCCACCCCTCCCAGCGCGCCAGTGTCCCCCTCCGGAAGCCAGGCAGTGGCTCCTTCCAGGCCCCATGATCCCTGACTTACCCAGCCTGCCTCTGAGGCCCCGGGCCCAGGCAGTGACAGGGAGCAGGGCCGCCTCACCACCCAGGCTGCTGGTACCCACTTCCCGTGGCCACCGGAGAACCTGGCAGAAATATTTTTGCAAATTAATAAACATTCTAAACGGAAAAAAGTTCTGGATACACTGTCCACGCTGGTCATGGACGGGAAGGAGCCCACGTGCCCAACTCCAGGCACACAGTAGGGGCTTTGTGAACCGGACTAGTGTGCATTGCCTCCCCTCCCAGTCCCCCTCCCCCTTCCCCTCCCCTCCCCTCCCCTCCCCTCCCTGGAATGGAACCCAGGGGCGCTGACTGAGCCACATTCCCCGCCCTTTTTATTTTTATTTGGAGACAGGGAGACAGGGTCTTGTTAAGTTGCTGAGGGCCTCACTAAGTTGAGGAGGCCGGCTTTCAACCCCCCGGTCCGGTCCTCACACACCAGCCTCCCGAGGCGCTGGGATCACAGACGTGCAGCACCGCGGACACACGGATTTCTTTTCTCTCTTTTTTTAAAAAAATAATGTTCTTCCTGGGGGCTGGGGTCGTGGCTCAGAGGTACAGCGCTGGCTAGCACGCAGGAGGCCCTGGGCTCCATCCTCAGCACCGTGTAAAAATAAATAAAGATTTTTGTGTCCAACTACAACTAAAAAACTAACATTAAACAAAATAAGAGTAACATTCTTCTTCCCTTCCTGCTCCGCCCTTCCCTCCCTGCCTTCCCCTCTGCTGGGCCACTTGGCTTTACCTTCTGTCCTCGCTGGCTGAAGGGAGAATGTGGTTCCCCCTCCCCTGGTCCTGCAGCCCCTGGTCTGGGTGCCTGGGTCCTGCCCGCCCAAGCTTGGCCTCCGCGTCCCCACAGAGGGGTTGGAAAGCGTGACATCTAAGGGACACCGCAACGAAGCCACGCAGGCGCCGCCTTGGGTGTCTAGCTCAGCAACTCGGCTGTGGAAATGTAAGTGTTTTTAATTATCGCTGGTGCTGGGGAAGGAACCCCGACTTCGGGCATTTGGAGGACCAGCTTTACCAGCTTCGCCAGCTTCACCGCTGAGCTACTCCCAGCCCAAAAGATTTTTTTTTTTTAACCATCAAAATAAATGGAGGATGTGAGGGGGATCTGGCGTGGCGCCTGTCACCTGAGACCGTGTCCTGTGTCTCCTATGCCGCTCACAATGTGACAGGGTCCATCGCCAGGGCTGATTCGGCTGACCTGGCTGGCTAGGTGGGGGTCCCTTTGCTCCCTCGCGGCTCCAAGTGTGGCCCTCCCGAAGCTGCGTGCTCCATCCAAGAGGACGACCTTCCCGATAGAGGAGGTCCCAGTGGTCCCAGCGGTCATGCAGGGCCCAGGCTGGCGGTCCACCAGTCAGCACAAAATCACCCCAAATTTCCAGGCACTGGGTGGAGAGCAGGTCCCACTCCAGGATCCTGTTTTCTTCTCCGTATTCGTTAGAGACGATTCAACGCGCTGCCGTGGACCACCACCGCGGCGCCTCCAGGCATCGCATCGACCGTGCCCTGCTGACGTTCAGTGGCCCTCCGCGGTGGCTGGGTCATTTCACCGGTAAATATTCCACCAGGTTCGCGAGCAGATGAAGCTTTGATTTTTAAACTTAACGAAACGTGGTTCCTCCCAGCAAACTCACATCAGTACCCGGTGCTCAGCGCCTCCCGTTTACCTTGAGAGCGCGTCTGGAGGTTCCAGCGGAGAACACGGCTCCTCTGTACCCCTGACCCAAGGACCACTGGGAGTTGGCAACCGGGAGAACCTGGCAGCCAAGAAATATTTTTGCAAATTAATAAACATTCTAAATGGAATAAGTTCTGGATACACTGTCCACGTCAGGTCGTGGAAGGGAAGGAGCCCACGTGCCCAGGTCCAGGCGCACAGTGGGGGCTTTGTGTGCACTGGGTACTCTTTGCTTCCTGGGGGCTGGTCTGTAGCAGTGGGAGGGTCAGGGTCACCAGCAGACCAGGCTGGTGGATGCGCAGCAGCTGGGTTGGTGCCACACATTTCCGTGGCTTCCCAGTCCCGACCTCACCCTGTAAGGGCCGCCTTCCTGAAGCCCAGGACCCGCGGGCTTGCGCGCCCGTTCTGTGCGCCTCCACCCGGTGGTGCCTTTGCAGTGTGCACAGGTCCTCTCGGGGGGCCCCCCCCCGCCCACAGCGCTTTGGTGCTGGAACCTTCTTCTGAGCCTCCATTGGCCCCAAGCAGACCCCAGGAATGACACTCGGGACCTGTGTTGTGTGGGACCCTATTCTTGGATGACAATTCTCAAAACCACTGGTTTGCAGATGGACATTGTTGGCACCACTCAGGGGAAGGTACTGAGACTCCAGGGGCCTCCTAAGGGCACGTGTCCAAGCCAGCCCCATACCTGGCCACTGCACGCTGCTCTGCAAACCTCAGTTACAACCCCCTCCTCTCTACTGGCCCAGCTGGGACAGGCTGCGGGTCCCCCCGTGGGCCTCCCGTTTCCCACCTGGCTGGATTTACAGGCACGTTTGCCAGCGCTGCCATGACAAGGTGCCACAGGCTGGGCGCTCAGACCTCAGGGGTCACCCCCTCACAGAGGCCAGAAGGCCCAGGAGGAGGCCAGCTCCTCCCAGGTTCTCCTTGCTGCCCGGTGGCTTCTTCTCCGTGTCCTCACACGCCTGGTCTCTGTGACTCAGAAAGCCATCAGTCTTGCTGGTTACAGCGCGTGGCCTCCGTGGCCTCCCGTGGCCTCCGTGGCCTCCAGTGGCCTTCCATACCTCCTAAAGTCCTTCTTCTGGCCGTTCTGAGGTGCAGGGGGCAGGGTTTCTGCTCTGCAGGAATGGGGGACTTACTTCACTCACGTGGGGCCCTACCCAGGACCTGGGTGTGCTGAGAACACTCCACACCACTCCTCCCCGAAGGCCCGCACCCCAGCTCCCAGGTGGGGTTTTTATTTTGGGGGTTGTCGGGGGAGACAGAACCAGGAACTGAATGAAACAGAGGGTCACGCAAATGTCCTCTCAGGCCCCTCTGGGGTCCTCCCTCCCTTGTCCCCAGAGGCTCCAGTCACCTGCTTCCTGCACTCCCCTCCAGCCACGTTCCCGTGTGTGGTCCAGAAGTGCTGGGGCGGGTGTGAGCTTGTGAGCAGGCTCCCAGTTGTGAACTGCGCTGGGAACTGCGCTGGGAACTGCGCCGCAGGGTGCATATGGGGGCGGAGGCGCAGTGACAGCCAGCCCTAACCCTCCAGGACTTGAGGTGACTTGACCTTCTTCCTCGCCCTGTGCCCCACCCCTGCGTCCCGTGGTCCCAGCGGTCATGCAGGGCCCAGGCTGGCGGTCCCCCAGTCAGCACAAGATCACCCCAAATTTCCAGGCACTGGGTGGAGAGCAGGTCCCACACCGGGGTCTTGGTTTCTTCTCCGTGCTCGTTAGAGACAATTCAACGCGCTGCCGTGGACCACCACCGCGGCGCCCACGGGCATCACATCGACCGTGCCCTGCTGACGTTCAGTGGCCCTCCGCGGTGGCTGGGTCATTTCACCTGTAAATATTTCATCAGGTTCGCGAGCAGATGAAGCTTTGATTTTTAAACATAACGAAACGTGGTTCCTCCCAGCAAATTCCCAGTGGTCCTTCGGTCAGGGGTACAGAGGAGCCGTGTTCTCCGCTAAAACCTCCAAACGCGCTCTCAAGATAAACGGGAGGGGCTGGGGATGTGGCTCACGTGGTAGCGCGCTCGCCTGGCATGCGTGTGGCCTGGTTCGATCCTCAGCACCACATACAAATATAGATGTTGTGTCCGCCGAAAACTAAAAAATAAATATTAAAAAATTTTAAAAAAAGATAAACGGGAGGCGCTGAGCACCGGGTACTGATGTGAATTTGCTTGGAGGAACAACGTTTCGTTATGTTTAAAAATCAAAGCTTCATCTGCTCGCGAACTTGGTGAAATATTTACAGATGAAATATTTACACGGGGCTGGGATTGTGGCTCAGTGGTAAAGCACTTGCCTAGCACGTGTGAGGTACTGGGTTCGATTCTCACCACCACATAAAAATAAATAAAGATTCAT